GAGGGTTGCGATCCGTTGCCGGACACGGAAAAAGACAAAAGACAAAAAAAAAAAGAAAGGAGGTGGAGGAGTGAGATGGTGAACATCAGCTCAACCGGACCAACACCACCATGGAAGCTTCTCCCCAGGACCACGGCCGGTACCGTCCTGGGAGATGAGCAGAGTGAGCCCAGCGCGAGGTGTGGGCAGAGCACAGCAAGGCCTGGCAGAAGCCCTGGCCTCCAGCGCGGGCCCGTCACCACAGCACCCGGCACCTTCAGCCCAACTGCTTTGGCCGCCAGAGCCTGCTTGGCCAGCAGGTGGGTGCACTCGGGGAGCTGCAGGTGTCTGAGGATTGACAGAACCTCTGAAGCCTCCTTTCTCCATAAAGACAGCCCTGAGGTGTGACCCAGCCTCTCTCCAGGGTCCCCTGGGGGACGACCAAATTCACCCCCCGGGACTTGGCTGGAGACACAGAACTTCTGGCCCTCCTCCTCTCCCCGTGTCCCATGCTCCTCTACTGCTTTTCCTGGGGACACTTCTTAAGAAATAACTGTTACACGAATCCTCGTTTCAGTGTCTGCTCCTAGAGAATTCAGCCTAAGACCAAATAGCTGAGGTTTTCTGTCATTTACGTCCACCTTAATGCAGTGTGCTCAAATGATGCTGCTTTATGATTCAGATTCTTTGAAATTCGTTGAGATGAGTTTAGGTCCCAGCACTGGTCAATTTTCATGTATAATCCACCGATGTTTGATGCAAATGAGTATCTCCAGATACACACAGATAGAGGTAGAGACATAGACATATATGGGTAAGTATATATAACAAACCTGATATTTTGAAATATAAATTCATACTGGTTCTAGTTTACGTATTTTTGATAACAAGTTAGACACATATAAATTTAAAAGATTCTTGTCTTTTTAGCCAGTTGTTGCCACAGAGCTCCAAATGACTCTCAGGCCACCATCCTGGAAGATCTCTGGGAACCACTTTGTCAACCAAGAAAGAACATTTGCAGACAACACACAATGCCCAAGCTCCACCTCTGGAGAGGAGCCTCCATCTGTCCAGGGGCTCCTGGGGAAGCCTGGAGGAGGCTGACACCGTCAGGGCCTGGAGACCACCAAGGGAGTGCCCTCTAGAAGGAAACTACCGTGGGGCCCTGGACGGGGGTCAGGGAATGTGACTTACCGCAATCTCCGTTACTAAAATATCAGTAATACTTCCCAACACAGTGACAAAGTCGAAGACATTCCAGGCATCTCTGAAATAGTTCTAAAAAAAAAAGAAGGGCAGTTAGTGCCAGCGACTGGTGAAGGCTGTCGGGCCACAACCTACAGGTGGCCACCCCTAAGCAAGAAAGGGGTGAGACCGATAGACTCAGCACAGGACAGATGTCCACGTGCCCAGGGGGAGGAGCCCAGCCCTGCCTGCTTCCCGGGACCTGGACTGGGAGCAGAACTCAGACAGCTGAGAGGGCCAGAGCAGCCCCTCCTGGGGTGTGCCCCGAGGGCTCAGAGAATCCCCAGCTCCAAGCTGCCCTGCACAGAGGGAGCCAGAAGGACCAAGGCACGTACCAGCACCCCAAAGGCGATGATCTTCAGCACACATTCCAGGGAGAACATGGACGTGAACACGACATTCAGGCATTTCAGCATCAACTCATACTCGTAGGGCGCGTCGTAGAACTGCCAGGGAGTGAGCGCCATTGGCCACAGGCTCAGCAGCCCCAGACGCCCCACCTGTCCCATCTGGGACCACTACGACCTCCCATCCAAGCACAGTGGGCAGATGGAACTCCATGCCTGCCCGGGCCTGGGATACCCCTCCTTGCTCTGCCCCTGAGTTCTCCTAGAAGCTCCCCACTGTCCTAGACCACAGACAACAAGGGGAGAAGGGAGGGGACATCTGAGCTGACCAGGGTGAGAGGCACCTGTAGTCCTGACACAGGCCAGCAGAAGAAGGCTGACCCCCCACCGGCCTCAGAGGCAGACTCCGACCCCCAGCAGGCACCAGCCGCCCAGGGTGATGGGTCCCCACACACCTTCATCATCAGCACCACCGTGTTGAGGGCTATCATGGCCATGATGAAATACTCGAAGGGTGGAGAGACCACGAATGTCCACGTCTTATACTGGAATGACTGCTTGTTCTGGGGCATGTACCGTGTCAGGGGTTTGGCGCTGATGGCGAAGTCAATGCAAGCCCTCTGCATGGGGAGAAGGAACACCAGGGACTCAGAGGGGACACCCAGCCCTGCACCTCTGCTGCACACTGCACTGGTGCCACCCACCCTCTCGGGATCCCTGAGGAGAGACGGCAAACAGGCCAAACACTACCTCCTCCAAGCAGGCCCTGACCAGCCAGATGAGGCCTCTGTCTGTGGGTGAGGGGCCCGGGCCCTGTGCCAGCAGACGGTGGCAGGCAGAGCTGACCCAAAGAGGGATTCACGTCAGAAGGAAGGCCCGACAGCCCTGCCCGCACTGGCCATCACGGGAGCTCGCAGAGCGTCCACCCACCTCGTTCTTCTCCAGGCTGCACTCAGACATCACCTTGTCCCCCTGCTCCTGGAAGGTGATGATGATCAAGGCCACAAATATGTTGACAAAGAAGAAGGGGAACACCACAAAGTAGACCACGTAGAAGATGGACAGCTCCATGCGGTACCCAGGGCTCGGCCCCTGCTCCTCGTAGGTGGCGTCCACGGAGTGTTTCAGCACCCTGGGCCGAGAGGAGAGCGATCGTCAAGTGTCAGGCGACCCTCAGAGGAGACTGCCCCCAGGAACTCAAGACCTGCATCACGGGCATGGGGCCCAGGGTCCACTTCCATAGCAGAGCCCAGGGCGAGAGAGAGAGAGGCGAGCGTGGGGCTCCCTGCCTCAGCCAGCCCTCTTCTCCAGCCTGACCCACGCCATGAGCGGCGCCAGCACTCACATGGGCCACCCCTCTCCCGTGGACACCGTGAACAGGGTCAGCAGAGCCCAGAGCACGTTGTCGTAGTGAAAGTCGTATTTCTTCCACTGCCGTGGCTGAGCCTCCACTTCCTCTTTCTCATAATCCAGATACTGACCCCTGGGGATGGAAGCACAGGGCAGGTCGGAGGGTAAAGACAAGGATCCAGACAGCCCACGTGACTACAGTCAGCTTAGTTCCGACGAGGATGCTAAGACCACTCCACAGGGAAAGAACAGTCTCCTCAGCAGACGGTGCAAGGATAACCGAAACCCACATGCAAAAGAATGAACGTGGACGCCGACTACACTCCACAGACAAAAATGAACTCAAAATGGATTAAAGACCTAAATGTCAGAGCTAAAACTATTAAACTCTAAGAAGAAATCATAGGGGCAAAGCTTCATTTTGGAATGGATTCTTAGATATGATACCAAAATCATGAGCAACAAAAGAAAACAACAGATAAATTGGAATTCATCAAAATTTAAAAACTTTTGTGCTTCAAAGGACACCATCAAGAAAGTGACAACAGCCCACAGAATGGGAGAAAATATTTGCTAGTCTTCTACCTGATGAGGGACTTTTATTAGAGTATAAAAAGAACTATTGCAACCAAAAATAAAAAGACAAATAACCCAATTAAAAATGGTCAAAGTGGGCCGGCCCGTGGCTCACTCGGTAGAGTGCGGTGCTGATAACACCAAGGCCACGGGTTCGGATCCCATATAGGGATGGCCGGTTCGCTCACTGGCTGAGCGTGGTGCTGACAACACCAAGTCAAGGGTTAAGATCCCCTTACCAGTCATCTTTAAAAAAAAAAAAAAATGGTCAAAGGATCTCAATACATTTCTCCAAGGAAGATACACAAATGGCCATTAAGCACATGAGAAGATGCCCAGCATCATTAGTCATCAGGGAAAAGCAAACTGAAACCACGATATCGCTTCACACCTACTAGAATGGCTATAATTTCAAACAAACAAACAAAAACTGGACAATAACAAGTGTTGGTGAGGATGTGGGGAGACCGGAGCCTCATGCACTGCTGGTAGGGATGCAGAATGGGTCACCCACTTTGGAAACACGCTGGCATTTCCTCAAACAGCTAAACAGAGTCCCCATATCACCCATCAATTCTACTTCTGGGTGTTTACCCAAGAGAAATGAAAGCACAGGTTCACACGAACACTTGTCCACAAACGCTCACAGAAGCATTATTCATAAGAACCATAAGGTAGAAACAACCCAAATGCCCACTGATCGATGAGGGAATAAAATGTGGCATATCACAGAACATTCAGCCATGAGAGGGAAGGACACGCTGACACATGCTACAGCACGGATGAACCTTGCAAGTGCTGCCCTGAATGAGAGAAGCCAGGCACGAAAGACCACACATCACGATTCCCTTTACACAAAATGTCCAGAGCAGGGAAACGTATACGGACAAAACAGAAGAGTTGTTGCTTAGGGCCAGGGGTGGGGACATAGGAGGTGATCACTAAAAGATATGAGGTTTTTTGGGGGGGCGGGGGGTGATGTTCAAATGTTCAAAATTGACTGTGGTGATGGTTGCATGCATCTGTGAATATACTAAAAAGCACTAAATTATAACACTTTAAATGGATTGCATGAATAAATTGTATGATATGTGAATTATATCTCAATAAAACTGTTTTTGTTTGTTTGTTTGTTTCCTTTTTGTCTTTTTTCGTGACTGGTAACGGGATCGCAACCCTCGGTGTCACGCCTGCACCGCGCTCAACCAGTGAGTGGACCAGTCTCTATATGGGATCCGAACCCTCGGCGGGAGCGCCGCCACACCCCCAAGCGCCGCACTCTACCGAGTGCACCACCGGGCCGGCCCATTTGTTTGTTTTTTAATGGAGCCCATTCCAGTGGGGAAAGGATGACATTTCCAAATAAATGGTCCTGGGTCAATACCATCTTTAGAAAAGTTATCTTTATCCACACCTCACACAACACGCAAAAATCAACTCCAGGCAGATTGCAGATATTGATGTGAAAGGCAAAAATAAAGCTTTTAGAAGAAAACATAATAAAACATCCCTGATCTTGGGATAGGTTCTTAGAAAGGATACGAAGAGTGCTAAATACAAAAGAATAAAAAAGATAAGTTGGGCTATATTAAAATCAGGAACTTTCACCTTTAAAAGACAACATTAAAAGAGTACAAAGCACTCTACAAAGGGAGAGAAGTCTAGAATCCATAAGATCTGGCAAAAGACTCCTTCCTATCAAGGACATTAAAGAATTAAAGAATTCCTACTAATCAAACAGAAAGAGCGATAACCCACACAGGAAAATGGGCAAAGACTTGAATAGACACATCCCAGAAAAGGACATCTAAGTGGCCAGTCCACCTAGGAAAGGGGCTCGACCTTGGTGGTCGTCACACAAGTGCAAATTAGACAACTGAAATATCACTGCATCCAGCAAGGCCGAAAAGCAAGACAGAACGCACAGAGCGTCAGCAGGGATGGGGAGTGACGAGAGCCTTCCTCTGTGCTGCAGGGAATATGACTTCCCATGAGCATTTGGTGCATCGACTAAAGCTGAATACAGCGCAGTCCACGACCCAGAGATTCTACTCTCAGACTGACACACGTCCCAGAAATGTGCACACTGCTCACAATAGACAGTGCACATGGAGCGTCACAGCAGCACTGCTCATGACAGTGCCAAACTGGAAACAGCCCAAATGCCATGAGTCATAGACTGGATAAATAAGCTGTGGGATATTCACACAGAGACTATTACACACCAGACACGACTGGGACCATCACTGTGCAGGCGGGAAGGAGCTGTCCCCACTGCCTTGCTCAGGGTCCACAGAGGTGGCCACCTCTGCTTCCCCTAGTCCCTCCCCAAGGGTGCCTCTCCTGTGTGCTCTGAGGGTAGGACTGGACCCAGGAAGACCTGAGGCCTTGCATGAACAGTGACTGCAGCTGCGGCCCTGGGCAGCCTTCTTACCTTATGGGCCACTCTGGATCTCTAGGGTTTTCAGAACCCCTGGCAATGCCTTAGTGCCCACCGTGAGCTCCCCGGATCCCTCAAAACATGGCTGGTCCCTGACCTTGCTGAGGAGGAAGTGATGGGAGCCCCTGCTGTGGCACTGAGACAGGCACACTCTTCTCTCTTCGGTGGTATTACCGGCACAGCCCAAGCAGGCCCCTCCCCAGCCCTCAGTCAGTGTCCCTCCTGCTTTGCAGTGGAGTCTCCCCAGCCATGCGACCAGCCCCACCTGGTCCTGAGAACTCCAGGTGTTCTCGGGATCATGGGGCTGCATGCACAGACCCCACCCTGCCTCAGTTTACCTGCAGTCCCTCTCCAGCTCCTTGGATTCGTCAGTGCAATAGAAAAACTTCCCTTTGAAGAGCTGCACCGCAATGACGGCAAATATGAACATGAAGAGCATGTAGACAATCAGGATGTTGAGGACGTTCTTCAGGGAGTTCACCACACAGTCAAACACAGCCTGTGGGAAGAGGGGGGGGCCATGAGGGAGGGGGAGGGGCAGTGGGAGGAGCAGAGCCACGTGGGAGGGGTGGCGTCATGGGGAGGAGCCACGTGGGGGCAGAGTCACAGGAGGGGCAGAGCCATGAGAAAGGGGTGGAGCCACAGGAGGGGCAGAGCCACGAGAAATGGGTGGACCCACGGGAGGGGCAGAGCCACGAGAAAGGGGCGGAGCCACAGGAGGGGCAGAGCCACGAGAAAGGGGCGGGGGCACAGGAGGGGCAGAGCCACGGGAAAGGGGCGGAGCCACAGGAGGGGCAGAGCCACGAGAAATGGGTGGACCCACGGGAGGGGCAGAGCCATGAGAAAGGGGCGGAGCCACAGGAGGGGCAGAGCCACGAGAACGGGGCGGAGCCACAGGAGGGGCAGAGCCACGAGAAAGGGGCAGGGGCACAGGAGGGGCAGAGCCACGAGAAAGGGGCGGAGCCACGAGAAAGGGGCGGAGCCACGGGAGGGGCAGAGCCATGAGAAAGGGGCAGAGCCACAGGAGGGGCAGAGCCAGGGAGGCACGGAGGCAAGAATGGGACCAAGACAGAGGACAGGGCAAGGCAGGGCACGTACAGTCTCAGAACCTCGGTCCCACTAAGGCCCAGACCACCCTTAAGGGCTCACTCCAGGATCCTGCAAGGCCCTCAGGCCAGCTGCCTCGACACAGAAAGCTGACAGGCACTGTGTCTCTCTCATGAACGAGTCTCCTTGGCCTTGATGGATGCTTAGGGCGACCGGCCTTTCAGGTTGGATGACCAGGCTGAGCTGCTGTGGGCGGGGCCAGCCTCCTGCCCTGCACCTGGGCCCTGCCAGCAGGTCGCACTTTTGACACAGAAAGCTGACAGGCACTGTGTCTCTCTCATGAACGAGTCTCCTTGGCCTTGATGGATGCTTAGGGCGACCGGCTGCTGTGGGCGGGGCCAGCCTCCTGCCCTGCACCTGGGCCCTGCCAGCAGGTCGCACTTTGCCCCTGCCCATCAGAGGGAACTGATGTGGGACAGACTAAATGCTGTGGCCCAGCTCCAGGACAGGGACTTTGAGGTGTCCTGTGGCCCTGGGATGACCGTTGTGTTACCACTGCCCCCAGGTTTTCTCTCAGGTTCTTCCCCACCTGGAAGCTCAGCATTCCCTGTGTCCTCAGTGCTGCTCTCAGAGTTGAGGAGATGCCTCGCAAGCTGTCCTGCTCTAGCTATGACAGACACTGCCTGGCACACTCCAGATGCCAGCAGCTGCCTCAGCAAAAGCAGCCACTGCCTGCTTGCACAGCACCCTCTACCTGCCACGCAAGGCGCAGCTCCGCACCTGGACCCAGAGGACCTCTGGATGCCTTTCCAGGCCACCTCCCATCCCTCCCTTCACACACGGCTTCTAAGCAAACTTTTCTCTGTAATTCCCATGTTGCCTAATGTCTCCAAAGCAGGAATGTCCAAGCTGTTAATAACAGTACTTACTGCATAAAGGTTTAAAGTATTAGAGTTAAAGCATAAAAAGCATTTTGCACAGTGCCCAGCACAAGCTCAACAATTATTAGATTTTAGCACAATGCTAAGTGTTTGGGGTGACACTCTTCCTTTATCCAGGACTTCAGCCATGCCCATACGCCAGGGCCCAGCCCAGCAGCCAACTTCCTGGAGCCCCTGCCCTGATGGTATCTTCCCTTCACAACCCTCTGCCTCTCCCAGCAGCCCCTTCCTCCCTGTACTGCAGCTGCTGAAGGAAACACCCTGTCCCATCTGGTGCCCCTGGGCTAAGGAAGAGGATTCCCACAGGAGCTGGGAACAAGCTCTCCTTGGCAGAGGGGGGCTTATAGCTGAGCGAGCCTGTTCCCCCCAGCCCCAAAGGTGTGTGATCTGAGAGGACACACGCACATGTACTGCACATGTGCACATCTGCACACGCTCATGCCTGCGTGCACACACACACACGTGCACACACATGCGTGCACTCATGCACAGCACACCCCTCAAGCCCCAACTCCTGGCTCCAACCTTGAGCTTGGGCAGCCGTTTGATGGTCTTGAGGGGCCGCAGGACGCGCAGGACTCTCAGGGACTTGATGGTGCTGATGTCTTTCCCTTTGGATCCTCTAGAAGGAGAAGCCACAGATGCAGACAGGCAGGGGGCGAGGGAGGCCTGGCTCCCATGCAGCCCACCGGGGTCTGGCTCACACTCCCTGTCCACATTGTCTCAGGCCCCAGGGTAGAGGACCCAGGGGCAGAGAGTCCTTGCCCTACAAGCACCAGGCCACTGCATCTCTTCCCATGGACTGCCTGGCTTGGGTCTCATCTGAGGACAGGGCCTCCTGGTGTACAGGGAGAGCTGAGCTTCCAGATGGGAAGAACCCATTCTCCCAGACCATGCATCACCCCAGCGCTCCCGACACCCACCCCCAAATCAGCCTCCAGGAATAAAGAGGACACAAGGGCCCTGCACAAGGACTGCAGACCTGACAGGGGAAGTACACAAGCCTATCCTTTAGTGTTAGAATCTTCTGGAAAGGGAGTAAGGGGGGCTGGTCAGGCCTCTGCCCTACAGACTTCCCCGCCTGTCCTTCTTCAGCTGCCTTGACACTCCTCCCGGTGACAGAAAGGAAAAGGGACAGGAGAAAGGAGAGTAAGAAAGAGGCAAAGTCAGACAAACACAGAGGCGATTCGACAGGCAGGGTGGACAGAGAAAGAAAGATAAAGCACGGGGGTGCATACGGGGACGGGGTGAGCTGCGGAGAGAGGACAGGGAAAGAGCCACCGAGGGCGGGGGGGAAGCAGACAGAGGCTCCAGTGCGATTACGAAAGCAGCAGACAGAAAACCTCAGGCAGGGGAGGGGACGTAAGACAGGAAATCAGGTAAAGAAAATTCCAGGCACTGGAAGCAAGCTCCGAAGTGCAGGATCAGTGGCCCAGATCAGGGCCCCTCACAGAAGAAGCCAGAGCAAACCCATGGCTGCCTCGGCCTGTCTCTGGGGGCTGGTCCTCCCACCAGTGTCAAGGGGAGGCTCCTTGCTAAGGACGCCCATTCTCAGAAGCAAAGCCACACCCTGCTCGGTGGGGTGGGAGCTGAGGCCTCAGGATTGGGTGGGATTCGCTTTGCTCAGAGGGACCTTCCCACCAAGCTCCCTGGGGAGTGCCCTGCACGTGGGGCGCGGCCCTGCCCCCGTCGTCTTCCTTGGGCTCCAGCTCAGCTCTGGGGCGGAGGGGGCAGTGAGAGGGACAGCCCAAGCCCAGGCCATTGTCATGGTGAAAGCCGGGCTCAGACACCGCAGCCCCTTGCCCTGCCCCCAGCCATGGCCTCCACTCCAGAGTCGGACCAAAGCCTGGGAACACCAGGAGAAGAGGGGACAGTGGGGGCTGCAGACCCTCACCAGGGCAGGCAGAGGTGGGAGGGAGGGGACACTGCTGTCCCCCTGGGAGGCAGCTTCAGCCTCTGTGCGGAGGGAGCAGCCGCTCAGGGCCCGCTGTTGCCTCTTGCTCTGAGGCTGGGTCTCTGGACCTTGCCCCTTCCCCTCCTCCTAACTGGGGACATCTCTGAAAACCCTAGCTGCAGCGTCCTCATTCCCAAGGCCCTTGCTGATACTCTGGCAAAGCTGTCACTTCCTTCATCATAGACTAAGACACGAACAGGAAATGCTGGGAGTTGCTGGGGTCCAGCATGAAGGGGAAAGAGAGGAAAGCAAGCCACATTTCTAGACAGGAGCCACATGGGGAAGCATGTTGGGACGTCCAGCATCCTGAGGCCTTGGTCACCACTGGTGGCTCCCGCCCAGAGCCCTCACTGCCCTCCAGACTGACGTTCCCAGCCTCCAGCACTCGCTGGGACACCCTGCTCGCCAGGAACTGCTCACCAAGGGCTAACTATGCCCAGCCCCAGCCCCGGCTCCCAACCCGGCCCCCAACCCGGCTCCCAAAGGCATGGTAGGAACATGTGGCCTGGGGACATGGCTCTGGGCAGCATGCAGCCCGGACGGACAGGGTGGAGGTGGGTGAGCAGGAGGTAGAGCCATGGCTGTGTTGTGATGTCGGGGCGGTGCGAGGGGAGGGAGGAAACGCATTACCCCATGAAGCTCCTACCGAGAGTCCAGCAACGGGGAGACAAAGAGAACAGAGTCAGTGGCGCTTGCGGACGGAGCGCAGGCCCCCATCCCGGCACCGCCGTCCCAGTGGGCTCAGCAGGGGAAGACCAGGGGTCTTCCTCGTCTCTGGATCGCACCCCACAACTCCTCTCTACCTCCCCAGACCCAGCCACAGGAGGGCCGATCCAACACCCCAGCAGGGGAAGATGCCCCCAGCTCTGGCTGGGACAGAAAATACGGAGGTGTCCTTGGGTCAGGCACTTGCTTCAAAGCAGGTAAAATCCCTCCAAAGGACCCCACAAGGCAGATGCCAAATAAGCCAGAGACTGTGCACCCAATCGAAGAACCACAGGGCTCATCAGGGACAGATGGGTCTCTCATCCTCTTAACCCCATGCAGCCCGGCCCCAAGCAGGCAGGGATGGTCCTGTCTGGGCAGTTACAGAGCCACAGAGAGCCCAGGGAGGTGGATGGGGGAGCCTCTCTGTCCTTCCCACAGCCCCCACATTCTATCACAGCTCTGGGGGCTGCACCCAGTTAGACCCAGAGCAGATGTGGTTACTTACGAGAAGGCAAATGCCACCAGGGCCCCACTGACCACGATGAAGTCCAGAATGTTCCACAGGTCCCGGAAGTAGGCTCCAGGGTGCAGCAGCAGTCCCAAGTCGATCATCTTCAGGGGAGAAACACACTTTAGGATGCATAATATTCCAGAAAAGAGAGCAGGGCCAGGCCCCAGAGTCATGAGGGAAAACAGGGCTCTAGGTCACACCCCGCCCACCAGCGGAAGGCTCAATGCAATTTATTGTGCACACGTATGTGCACACCTGTGACCTCAGTGGGCCTCCAGACCTCAACGCCATAGCCAGCTCGTGTCTGCTGAGATCCTGCCGGGGCTCCCAACTTCCTCCATCCCCATCTGCTCCTCCGTCGCTGGGCTGCAGGCCCACCCACAACCCCAGGGAGCTCGCACGCCGCCCAGACCCTCAGAGGGAGGGCTCAGTGCAGCGGGAAGCAAAGCTGGTGGGGCACATGGGCCTCCACTCACATCCTGGCTCTGCCACTCCTTGTGCTGTGATTTCTGGCAAGTACCATAACCTCTCTAAGCCTCGGCTTCCTGATCTTTAAAATGGGGCTGATGATGCCTACCCCACAGAATTTTGCAAGAGTACGTGAAATAGCAGAGATAACACGTTCACGCCCCAGTTGTAAGTGCTGTAGATGTAAAAGCTACCCCGAGTGCACACATGTGGGCCACACACACCCTAGATAACACGTTCACGCCCCGGTTGTAAGTGCTGTAGATGTAAAAGCTACCCCGAGTGCACACATGTGGGCCACACACACCCTACGGTGCACTGAAGTCATGAACGCGCACGTGTGTGTGCAAATACACACAAGGACCACGCTTAGACGTCGATAAAGGATCACCTCGTGTCAGTAATTAGAAATGGAAGGTTAAGGTTGCGAAGAAATGGTAGACTCTTACTGTAGCATCAGACAAGCACTAGATCCCCTTCCCCAAGGTCTCGTTCTCCTGCACCCTGTGTCCCTGGCCCCTCTTTGCGTCACAAGACACTCCTGGAAGAGGGCTGAGGCACAGGTACACTCTCCGGAACATGTCACATACGTGCAGCAACGCCCACATGTCCTCACACGTCTGTGCACCCATCTCAGTCGCAAGGGAGGGTGGGAAGCACCAGGGTCACCGGGGCCGTGCATCTCACCTTTATCACCATCTCAAAGGTGAAGACGCCTGTGAAGATGTAATCCATGTATTTCAGAGCCTAGGACCAAAAGGAAGGTTATTCTCAAAGGCTAAGCTGGAAGCCTGGGCCGGGCCAGGCCAGGGCCACCTCGGTGGCTCCAAGTTGTTCCTCCAGGCAACAGTTTGGGGAGAGAAGACTCAGGCAAGTGTCACTCTGGGAATGGCCCCCTCTGGCCACAGCCCTCACTCTGGCCCTGGGATGTCCCAGCTCTGCCCATCTGCAGCTCGGGGGCTGGATAAGGTGGCTTCGCCAGGCCTTTGGTCCCACACTCCCAGAGGGAAGGACAGACAGAAGGAGGAAGGGTGTTGGTGAGAAGACAAGATCCCAGCACCACCCAACCGCTCAGGAGTGTGCCCACTGGCACCGCCACAGCCCGATGGTGGCCCGGCCACCAGAGCCACTCACGTTGTTCCTGGGCGAGTCTGTGCGCACAGGGTCCTCAGCAGCCAGGGCAATGCTGCTCAGGGCAATGACCACGAGAATGACCATCTCGAAGTACCGCATCGTCACAATGTAGTGGCAGAAGCGGCGGAGCCTGTGGGGACAAACAGGTGGCCATGATGAGTGGGGCTGTGCTTGGCCCCTCCCTGCAGAAAGAGCCCTCACCGGCTGCCTGTCCCTGCGTTTGGGGGACAGTTGCCAGGTAACCGATGGAGCCGAGGCTCTTGAGGGGCGTCTTAAGGGGTGGGAAGGCAGCAGAAACCTCCAGCAGGCTCAGCAAACTGCAGCTCACAGGCCAAGTTGTGCGGAGCCTCTCGTGAGAGGAGACTTGTTGGCACATGGCTACGCCTATCAGTCCTCTGCCATCCGCAGCCGAGTCGAGCAAGGCCACGGAGACCTCACAGCCCCGAAGCTGACAGTATTGACTGCCAGCCCTTTACGGGAAAGGCTTGCTGCTGGCAGGATGGAGGCTGTTGTTCAGAGGGAAGTCACTAAGCAGCAACACCTCTGCAGAGAGCAGGCCTCCCTGCGCTAGGACGCTCTCTGGGGCCCGTGCTGGGCACATGGCGGTGCGAGCTTGCGGAACTGCATATGAACGCACTCGACACGCCTGCCATCTGCTCCAGTCGCCTGTTCACCTGGCTTGCTTGGCCAACACTATTGAGCATCTGTTCTGTCCAGGCATGTGCTGGACACTGGGGACACAGAGGTAAACAGGACAGGTGAGTCGCTGGCCTCACGAAGCTCCACTCCAGCAGGTAAGACCCCAGGAAACAGACACAGGAGACTCTCAGATGCTGACCAATGCTGCAGCGCAGCAGCAAACGGTGACCAGGAGGTCATGACCAGGAGGACAGAGCCACTGGCGGAGCGGGTGGGCTGGCCAGCCCTCCCACCCTCGCGAGGGACGTGCACGCAGAGCGCGACCTCTGCCCCCTGCTCCCCTGCCTTCGTGGCACATCCACTGCCCACCAGCTCCTCCAAGCTCTTCCTCTCACCAACACCCACACATGCCCAAGGACCTTCCATCTCAGACGACCTCCCACTTCTCTTCCTTCCCTGAAGGGACCCCATGCTCATCTCCTCATCCGCCAACCTCTGTCACCTGGCTCTGCCCCCACGTCTGCAGAGCTGCTCTTCCTGGGCCCACCAGTGGCCCACTGACTCTTCATGCCTGGACACTTCTCTCTCCTTAAAAGAGACTCCTTTCCTTCTAATTCAACAGCCACCCAGTCCAGCCGGTGGCTGGTCCCCCCACTCGGCTCTACCCTGGCTCAGACCCCTGAGTCACCTGGTCATGAGAAGCGCCAGCTGCCCGGGCTCTGCAGGAGCTGCAGGCTGGGCCCCCAGCAGCACTGCTGGTCCTGGTGACTGCACCGCCTTCCAGCCGAACGTCCAGCAGAAACTGGACATCGTCCAGGACACGCCCCTCCCCTCCCACAGCTAACTTATCTTATGTCTCTTACTAACTTGTCTTGTTTGTTGTCTGTGTCTCCTACAAGCATGTCAGCGTAGTAAGGACAGGGGTTTGTCTGTCTTGTTCACTCCTGTGCATTCCAGCACCTAGAGTGCCACCTGCCACATCAATACTGGTTGGATTAATGGAAGCACCTGGACTGATGAGTGATGACGGATGCGTGACAGACAGACACTGGAGAGCGTGCACGAACAGACACACAAACAAAGATGACACGCACACGTGTGCACAGTGGGGATAAAGGGGGTCCATGTGTGCAGAGACGAACAGGCCCGCGGGGCAGCGAAGAGCACAGGCTCTGGAGCTCACCGTCGGCATCCGAGCCCTAGAGCCACCACTGAGACTGATGGCTGCGTGACTGTGCACGAGTCACAGAACTTCCTGTGTCTGCACATGAGGTCATGAGGGTGTCCCTCATGGGACTGCTGCGAGGACTGGAGATGTTCACACCTATGAAGTGCGTAGAACTAGTCCCTGCTAGGGTGCATGTCCAGTGCCTCTGGCTACTGTGTTCATGACGGTTGTGACAAATGGGTGAACGGGACCCCCATGTGCACGGGCAGGGGAAGGAGACTCACAGGTTGGCAGGGCTTAGGCAGAACAGGGAGTTGTACGGGACGATAGGCCGGGGGCCACTCCTCAGCACAGCATCCACTTCCACCTCCTTCTTCCCCTCTGCTTGGCTTTCCAGGTCCACGTTACCACCTACAAGGACACGGGCCACCAAGTCAGGGTGTGCTGCACCTGAAGCCCCTGTCACGTGGTCTCTCCCAGTTCCATCGCCATGGGCGAGTGAGGCAGGTCTTCATGGCTTCCCAGGGAAGGGTGTGTGGCTGAGAACACAGCTTCACGTGGTCAGAGCATGTCGGAGGTGAGTGACGGCCAGGACCACAGCCAGAACCAGAGGTCTGGGGCCGCCTGCCGCGGAGACCCTAACACACCCTTCCTCACCTCTTGCTTTGCCAGGGTTGCGGGGGACAACACCAAGCCCAGTCCTGCACCGTGCTGTGGGCCTCTCTGCCCCCGTGTGGGCAGAGCCTGGTGACAACTTCCCGCAGCCTCTGCAGGGATCTTGGGCTGGCAGGACGAGAGGAACAGGGCTGGCTTTGGACCCCCAGACCTGCAGATGCTCCCCTGGACCTCGTCATCCTGTCTTGCCTGGCCTGGAATTTTCTCCCTCTTGACCCTGGAGAAGGGCCCTGCCATGCCAGGGAGTTCAGAAGGACATTGTGGCCCAGGGAGGACCTGCAGCCCCTCTGCTCACAGCCACTCTCCCTGTGGCCCCCATGCATCACCCCCAATGCCCATCCTCTGCTCTTAGCACCCCACAGCTCTGCTCCCACAAATCAAACTTTCCCGGGTTAAAAGGGCCTTTGTTCTATTTTAGGTAAATTTTGTTGTCCTTGTACAGGACTTTTCTCACAAAGATTCTTTTTTTTTAAGTATCCTAATATACATTTCAATTTTGTGGGTGACAGTTCCTGAGACCTCAGGACTCCAGGGAAGACGGTGCAACGACTGGGACCGCCTCCCACGGCTGCATCTCATTTTTACTTCTTTAGAGAAACACGAACACAGAGGATGTTAAAGAGCAACAGGAATGAGGGTGCTTATCCCAGAGCCTGCCACAGAGACCAAAGCTCTGAGCCGTCCCCTCAACCACTGGCCATTTCCAAGTCCTGCAGAGAATGGATGGGCCAAAGGAAAAAGCCTCGAGCTGAACATGGAAATAGCTAAAGGTCTACACCACTAGGGCTGTTAGCTCCGAGCTAAGACAACCTGTCCTCACACACTAGTGCAAGTGGTCTTAGTGACCACTTTTGAAATGGGCACCATCAAATTTCCCTGCTGAAAATGCAATTCGTATAACCTCCTGAGAAAGCAGTTTGCCATTATGTATTTAAAATCCTAAAAAATTCTATTAAGTTATAAGACATTATCTCTTAAGAAAGTTAAGCATGCACACAAAAATCTGTATTCACAAAAGTGTTTGTTATAAGTTCTTATAACAAATTATAAGATCTTAGAACAAATTATATATGTTCTATAAGTTACAGTAACAAAAAAGTTATAAAACACACTACCACAGATCAGCTGAATAAAATATGCAATATTTACATGAAGCACCATACTATGGATATTACAAATGCCTGCAAAGAGTTTAAACGACATAAGAAGAGGCTTATGATATGGTAAGTTAAAAAAAATTTTTTTAAAAAGAACAGGCTACATATTTGTGCATCCCAGATGAGCTCAACTACAGAAAACAGCAAACATACAGGGAGAAAAACAACACCAAAGTGGTGACCATGGTGATCTCAGAATGGCTTTCTGACAGTAACTTTAAATTTTTTCACTGTACCTTTAACATTTAAGAAATGTTTCCATGATGAGCATATATTACTTTAAAGTAAGAAACATTTATTACTTAAAACCATACCTTTTCAGACTCCTCCACAATAGCAATAAAGCAAACCCAAGAATAAGCAAACTGGGAAAAAAGAACCAAATCTGGACTCAATGAAGTGTTTTGCTGCTCAAAAGAAACAGAACAAAGATGCCAGCGCCTGGAATAGGCTCTTCTTGTTTGAAATATATTTACTATAACAAAACCATAGGAAAAAACATACATTAAAGCAAAGTGGAACAAGAAAAAAGGGAAAGGATCAAAACAAAAACTGCAACAGATCAAGTAAATTCACTGATAGAAACAGGGTATTAAAAAAAAAAAAAGACTCAGTAACCAAAATTGAACCCCTGAAATAGAAGACACTAAGTCAAGTGAGATGTTACCTGCAGAGGGGACTAAAGAAAGAGGAGAAAAGTCTCAAAAACAGCCGCACGCCAGGCATGGCCCAGGTGCTCTGTTCCCTGTAACAGCACACATTTGCATGTGTGATCCCTTTTCCAGATTAAGAGACTAAGATGGAACTGAGGCATTACCTTGTGGAAAATGATCTACTAATGCTGGGGTAAGAGCCCTGCGCTCTCTGCAAGGTAGGAAAGCTAAATGAGATGCCTGCATTACAACACACGTCTAACAGGGGCTGAAGTGAGTCTAGCCTGGTGGTACCCTGGGCTTCCGGAAAAAGCAAATGCAAATCCTCTCTGACAAAAACGTTCCTCATTTGGCTCACAGAATCCCCTCAGATAAGGGGAATTTGGAGAGAATTTACACCCTATTTTCCGAAGACATCCATAGTAGAGAAAGAATGTATCTCCTATACATCTAGAATGGTATTAGCTAAGTAACATCCTCGGGAGAACTGGAAAAGTCGTCAGTCACTTTATTTTCTGTAGAGATTAATTATCTCACAAAACCCCAGTTGAGAAAGGGAGAATTAATATCAATCGCATATAAACTCAAAGTAAAATATATTGCCAAACACACAAGCAAGCAAGGTCACCATGAGTGAAAGACAGCAGGAACAACAAGCAATAGATTTATACTCCAAAGGACTTCAATCTGGGAATTTCAGGTGATATACATAAAATACTTAAGAGAAAAATGAAGGTTAAAAAATGAACAAGCAATAAAAGTCTATAAAATTGGCCCACCCCCGTCCATAAACCAGGCACAGCACCAATGCCCTGGGGCCCTGCCCGAGGGTCAGGGGCATCGAGCTGGGGACCAGACCCCCTTGCCCACAACCAGGCACACCATGAGCACCAAGGAGCATGCCAAAAACATCATCTCCACGTGGGTGGCCCACCACAGTAATCACAGCTGCCGCAAAAGTGGCTAGACGTCACAACCACCATGCAGATGGTCCGCCAGCCACTGGAGTGCATTGACACAAGGAGAGTCACCAGCAGAGACAAAGAAAAGAAGAGGACGTCTCTCTCCACAAAGCCCATTCCAGAGTGACAGAAGAAGCATCTGCTCTATGATAATATTGGGGGACCTGATCACATGTCTCAGCATTGGACAGATCATCTAGGCAACAAATCAACAGAGTAACCATTATTCTTTCGGAGGGAGAGAAGAAATCCAGGGTTATCAGAGGGGGAAGGGGAGAGGTTGGACAAGGGGCATAAAGAGTAAGTACGATTTGTAACAATATACGTACTAGTAATATTGATTTGATCAACATATGTCAACATTGAATCCCAAAAATATGTATAATCAATTATGATTCAATAAAAAAATTAATCAATTTTTTTAATTGACCCAGCACTTCAATAGCCCGTGACAGAAAAGCTTAAAATGGACTAATCCTCTTACTGAAAACAACTACCAGAGCTTAACAAAATACACAAGATATCTGTTTAAAAGCACTGGAAACCGATCAACACAGACAGAACCCAAGGAGCAACAGCCCTCGAGAGAAGGGAAGTGCAGCGAGTGATCTGACATTCACCCCAGACTTCCTGTTTGCAGTGCAAGGAAACAGAAGCCAAGCAGAAAGCAACACTGTGACTGGGACAGAAGAAAAAGATCAGAGGTTGAAGATGACAAGGGGTCTAGATCTTGAGGGGTGAAACCCCAAAGAGAACAGCAAGTCCCTCAACCAGCACACAGACTCCTCAAGTCATGGAGTGCAGGCTGCACAGAGGGTGGGTGGTCTTCTGTGGAATAAACTATGTAGCACATGTACTTCACAGGGCCTGGTTTTCCAGTCTTGCAGTTTCAGATATTGACCTTGCAAGGACTGGAAATTTTCCTCAGGCTATAAGTCTCTGGTGCAAGATAAGAAATGTGGCACAGCAGGTTGCTGGCTCAAGGACAGACTAGTTACTGATTGTTATGTAAATATACTGAGAAATACTGTAAGAAGGAATGTTTGCTAAGATCAAGCTTGTGTTGATAAGACCACTTAATTGTCTACTGGAATGTCATCTGGCTTGTTTCACTGAAAGTTACCAGCCTATATTGTTAAACTATGACCCCACCTATGTCTCTTCCTGTAACTTCCTGGTCTAGAAAATAAATGTAGGAAGAGAACCCCAATTCGGCATTAATTTCTGGCAGGAGATTAACCACTTCAGGGCCTCTCACTGCTCAGTAGAGATGAGCTTTGAGTAATCCTTTGCGTCTCCATCACCCAGGGGAAGTGGGATGACAAATCTATGGGGGGCAAAGCAACACAAAGCAACAGTCTCCCCCAGAAGCAAATGCCCGGAAGGGTCTTCATCTCACAGGAGAACGTGGGTTTAGCCTCCGAGATTAAGGCTGCAAAGGATTGATTTTGATACAGGGTGTGAATGCCAGTAGAGATTTGACCTTGCTATTCTTTTTATTAGGATTTTTCTTGCTTCTGTTAGTGCTCTTGTTCAGAGTTACACAGCTCTTGAGTCATCTGCCCAATGCTATTTTTTCTGTAGGCCTACTATCGCCGGTGCACGGCATTCTCAGAAATGCATGTATCATGTTATAGCAGGAATGTCTGTACTTCAGGAAGAAAGAAAAGCATACAAAAGAAAGGTCAGAGATGCAAGAATGAAAGGTAAGCCAAAAAATTAGTAAGCCAATAAATTGGTAAATCGGAAGAAAAAAAAGTCTCTGTAAAGTCAAAACAATAATAATACCTATTTTAAGGGCCGGCCCGGTGGCGCACTGCTACAGTACGCCGCTTGGGAGCACGGCGGCACTCCCGCCGAGGGTTCGGATCCCACATACAGACCGGTTCCCGCTCACTGGCTGAGCGAGGTGCAACACCGAGGGTTGTGATCCTGTTGCCGGTCCCCGGTCCGGTACGGGCACG